CTCTCTCTCTCTCTCTCTCTCTCTCTCTCTCTCTCTCTCTCTCTCTCTCTCTCTGTCTCTCTGTCTATCTCTCTGCAAGTACATGTGCAACGCCTATTATTATCGCTTAACGGCGGAGTGGAGAGCTCTCTCTCGTATTGCACCTTCCCTCGATCTCATAGGTAGTGTAGTGTAGCTGCCACACGTAACATTTATCCGCGAAAAGCGAGCGAACGTGCTCTGCCCTGGTAAAACGCTTTTCGATAATAATGTCATCGGATGAGTGCGTCGACGACATAAGTGTGCGTGGACGACACGAAGCGGTAGTAATACGCGCGCAATACAACGCCGATATTAAATGCGCGAATAAAGTCCGGTTACTAACCTGCGCTAATCCGCGCAGTAAACAAAATCTCTCTCTGTATATCGTTTTCGCATAGATGTGACGGAATTTAATAGCTCGCGCTATGGCGCGAGTCCATTAACTGCGGAGTTTCGCAAATTGAAGCGTACTTGGCTTGGTACTCCATGCGAGCCTTCACTAATCCATTAGCGACATAGTATCGAGAGTTGTTGTAATTTCGGTGAAAAAAAAATTGTTAAAAAATTTCTTCATCTCTATGGTATTAATAGAAGTGCCTTTCTCTCTTCTTCTCACGTACCGCGCGCAGATTGATTCGCACGACTTGACTGTAATTTGTAAATCGTCGAGATGTAAAAAATTGGACCGCGTACCATCGTTTGTTAATATCGTTTATCGTCGGAGTAGCAAAACACATTGCGTTTTCCTTTGGGCAATATATATCGCATACACGAATGTGTTTGGTGCAGCGCACTACGGCTTAAATCCAATTTCTTTTGCATCAAATTTTCATGCCATATTATATAGAAAGATTCTCTCTACACTCTACCACGAAGAACCCATTTGCGAAAAATTGAATCTAAGACATTTTACTCGCATACCGAATATTCGTACTCATCTCCGGAATTCAAATAACTGTTGTAGTCTATGACTGTTCACAAACAAATAGGAAATGCTTTGAGAATATCTATTTTGTGATTAATTTTAAAAATCTATTTGTGTAATCCAGTATTAGGGGAATGAATTTTTCCATAATATGTACATTATTTATACATTAAACAATAAATATTATTTTATGCGCATAAAAAATTTTGAAACTTTCTTTAATGCTTTGCATATATTCTTGATATTATTACTGTTTATTTATCATATATTTAAATAAATTAATCAAACAGAATTTAAATAATAGAGAATAAAAGTATAGCTCTCTCTCTCTCTCTCTCTCTCTCTCTCTCTCTCTCTTCGAGGCAGACAAAATCTAATATTCGGAATGCGAAGTGAGCATATCTGTAAATGAATGTGAAACACATCCGTGACAAAGTGGTGGGTCGTTCTGCGTACCGCCTTGCACGTAGGAAGTCCAATTTCGTTCTTCAACCTCAGCGGTCCTCATCGTCCGCTTCTGGCAGATATAAGGCGCTGCCAAGAATTCGATGGGGATCATTTCTCGACATCATTTCTTGGCAGAGCATTTTTAGCATTGTAGTGAAAGAGAGTCGCCACGATTGAGTTTTGTTTTACATAATAATGTCAATTTCATATATATATATATATATGTGTGTATGTGTGTGTGTGTGTGTGTGTGTGTGTGTGTGTGTGTGTTATATACGCGTGATAATTATATAACAAAATAGGATTTAGATTACATAGATTATATTTCGAAGATATAGACCATGTTCCGATATGCACCGCTACCACTGAAAAATGTCAATTTTAAAAATCTATAAGATTAATGTACCAATTAATGAACAAATGATCTATTGTTGGACAAAGTGACAAAGTTTCAAATATTAATAACTTTTAATATGTTTAAATAAATTCGATGTTTATAAAAATTTAATAACGATTTTATTTTGAATGATATTGTTAAAAGCTTAATATTTAAATTTTTTTATCACTTTGTCCAATAAATTGGATCATGTCCATTAACTGTCTACTAACTGGTACATTTACCTTAGTTTACGTTACGTAGATTTTCAATATTGGCAATGTATTTGAAAATACAGCTTATATTTCCAAAATATAATCTACTTAATCCAGTTCCTGTTTTTCATTTAATTCAATATTTACGCGAAAACATGATTTTCTAAATCAACATATTGTATTTTGTATACGATACAAATACACTATTCGTGACATAATTGTGTTACACCAATTTCAATAATAAGTAATTCGTTTATATCCCCTGTTATTATATTTGTATTTTAATTGTCTTGTTTATTTGTAAAATTTGTTTTATTGTTATTTGTTATTTAACATAATATTGAATATTTTCGTAAAATCGATTTAATATTTGGACTAAGACAAACTCAATGAAAATATGCACATTCCTTGGCGGTAACAAATTCCAGTCCTCTTTGCATACCATCGTACCTCTTTTTTTCGCAAATTTCTTGCCGTACGCAGAAATTCCAGGCGACGTTGCAGAAGAGTTATCTTAAAAGAGAAGAAGAGAAAGAGCAAGGATTAACGAATAAAGAGAGGAACGCATTAAGAGTAGAAAAAATTATATGTCGGGAGAGGAAGAGAAAAATAGTTATATCTGAGGTCTCTCCTCGAATGCGAGTTTTAATTATTTTCCTTTTCCTTCTTTTTATTACATTTTCTCTCACTAATCGAAAAAAATTATTCTTTCTCGCCATATATCTTTTATTCCTATATATCTATATTTAATATCAACATAAATCTCTAGGAATACATACACATAATTCTTTCTCTTCTTCAAATCTTTAAATATTTTATAAACTTGTATATGTTTTTCGAAACATCTACACAGCGTAGTAGTTCGGAAAATTTCCCACGTACATGTATAAAAATGTAAATTCATATTTTAATTCTTCTAAAAATTTAGACTAGAGGGAAATCAATGATATACTGCGAATGCATGTTTGACAACGCGCACATCTTGTTTATTTGTTTGAAATTAAAATCACGAAGAAAATTTGATGGCATATGAAAAGAACAGTAACAAAGAAAATTAGCGTGCAGACCTGAAGAAGATCAAATAAACCGCAGTTTCCGTAACGAGAAAGAGGGATAAAATTAACGAAGGTTCAGTTCCCTTTCATCTCCATTTGAAGGCTTTCCTCCGACACATGTTCCTTTCTTTAGCAAACTATCTCTGTTAGACTTTCGTATCTGATGCGACTATAGGGTAAAACATGGAAGGATAAAGAGGTAAATGAAAAACGTAGGCAAAGATTGCTGTGTGCAACGTGAAGAAAAAAAAAAAGATAAAAATGGAATGTTACGCAGGCTAGTATGGAAACTCGTAAGCACAAAGCTGAACTCACTTGTTGCACTTTGCAAATGAAAGATTATTGTACGTGCATCTGAGGATTACATGTGTTGTGTTCCTAATTAAAAACAAACAGATTTGATGATTTGCCATCTCGTCTCGCTTTTGGGTCCAATCAGGATATTTCTTTTCCTGTACGATTTTAATTTTATAAAGCCAGACAAATACCTGGAAGTCGCTAGTTGTTATGCGCTACACAAAGGGCAACAGGCGGATTGGAAGGTCTGAATACGAGAAGACTCCATTTTTCTTCAGAATAAATCGCTGTTGATGGTGCACTTGACTTCGAACGACATTCCGATTTTACGCATATTCAAAATCAATCTAAGCTTCACCTTTTTACCTGACTTCACCTACCTCATCGCATTATCCGACACCCTTCGACACAAGTTTGTCGTTCGTTTTAGACTGGAAGTGATTGCGTGACTCAAGAACAAAGAGATTGTTAGAAGAGAAAAATCACATACTTTATCATTTTAAAACAAACACTGTCAACAGTGTTTGTTTGAAAAATGATTTGCAGTAATAAAAGAATAAGGATAAATATCCTCATAATATTACAATATAATAATTTTAATACAAATTTCAAGTAATAAAATAAATAAAATAATGAGCGAAGATCAAATTTAATTGTTAATATTAATTAATCATTGCGCAACGTAGAATCTGACGCCAACTCCTAACGCTCAGTTTAATTAATGTTTTATTAATACAAATTTGTTTGAACGAGTCACAACGGACAATTTTAGAAAAATACCATAATATAAATTTGTTGTGGACGCGTTACAAATAGAATAAAAAAAATCAAAATTGAATAAAAAAAGAAACCAGTTAGAGTAATCTTCTATAATCATATGAGCATAGAAAAAAATCGCAGGGAAAAATCGACTGTATTAATCTTGTTAGAAGAAAGTGAGAGGGAGAAGAGGGACAGTAACAGACTCCCGCGACAAGCGCAACCAGCAGTAGTGGCAAACAACGAAGAGGAAGCAGCGTGCGGATATGCTACGGAGTAAAGGCAGAAAGAGAGACACCGATCTCTCGCGTTCAATACGCATGCGAGGTAAAGCGTGTGCGCGGGCGCGTACAACACGGGCCTCTTTTCGATCGACGGTGTCGGTGGCAGCGGCAACGGTGGTGGCGGCGGCGGTG